TTGGCAGTGTTTTTGTTTCTTTCCATGAGCTTACCCACATTGAAATTGAACCTTTTATGGATTAACTTTAGCAGTGTCCCTTGTTTTGCTTGGGTTCTTTACACAGCTTTTGAGTTGAAAAGTTCTCTCTGAGCTGAGTGTGCCTATTGTGTGGCTTTTTGAGTATGATGTGTGCCAGTAGTGCCCCCATGTTGAGGGAGCATACAGTTACCGCAGACAGAGGAAAACAGGCAGCAGCATCAGGTCATGCTACTCTGTTGAGAGCGCTTTTGTTTTTCAACTGTTTCCAGGGACAAAATAAATAGCTTTGCTTAACCAAAGGCATTTGCCTCCCTCGCAAATGCACCACTATGAGAAACATATTACCAGTGTTTTGCCTCTATCGGAGATTCTCTCTCTCTTTATGATTTCTTTCCTAAAGAAATGTCTTGGACAACATCTCATAAGCAAACATGGAGAATTTCAACCAGTTTTTGATTTATCATGGTCTCTACGGAATACTTCAGCATTCTGGGAACAAGAATCCCAGGTAACTGTCAGGAATTTTCCTGTTTTCAACCTCTTAAGGTCCACTTCTATCAGCCACTGATATCCATCAGCATCAAGAGGCTGCAGTTCTTGAACTTATTGCGGGCTTTATGTAGATCTTAAAGATCCTTGCGAAGATTTGTAACTAAAGTCAACGCTGGAATGTAGCAGGAGTGAACTAATTTAGAGGAAGTGACTTAGAGGTCAGGGTTGTGGATGTACCGGAGCAGGTTCCTAAAGGGCTGAAATGAAAATTATTTGATTATTCATAGATTGCGTGATTGAGATCATCTGCCTAAATGGCTACAATGTAAAGGTCAGCTGAGCCTAAATCTATTAAAGACAGTAGAGTTGAAAATCAACGATGAACGGGGTTGGAGAGGTAAGCTGTTTTTCAATCCCTGGAGGATAGACGCACACACTTTGTTGAGTTTTCAGACATCAGTGTACTAAGGACCAAAATGGTGGTATAATCAGGAACATAAGCGTAAAGGAATTTCCCCATTATATAAGGTGCAAGGGAAACTAATTCTGAGAAAACTGGTACACTGAAAGAGATCTAGAGATAGTGAGACTGAGAGAGACAGGGAGAGCAAAAAACATCAACGTTAGAGGAGATGGCCAGAGCAGGAGGTCAGGCAGAAAGACAGAGAGGAATGCTACGAGGAGCTGGGAACACTTTGTTTATGTCTAACAAGTGATAGAAACAGGCCATTCATGAAGATTTGGACTAGAACATTAGGATGAGATAGAAAAAAGTCCACTGCGGGTGTCTTCAGTAGAACATTTAATCATATATGCATGTGTACTGGCCTTTGATTTTAACTCTTTAAAATACAAACACAGATGGATTCCAGTTCAAGTATCATGAAAGGGCCAAACAATTTTCTACAAGTGCCACACACACAGTCGTAAAAGTAGAACAAAGCACAAAGTATCACAGTGTGTGTCAAAAACACCCAACATACTTTTAACCAATAGACAGAATAGCCATGCTTTGATGTAAATAATAGTTTATTTGTACAGCACTTTTCAGTACAGGTAACAAAGTACTACTTTACAGTCAGTATAAAACATAAACAAGTCGAGATCAAATAAGCTGAAAATAAGAATAGGCCTCACACAGTGGTTTACGACAATCAGTATATAAACACAAACAAGTCAATAACCAAATAAGTAAAAATAAAATAGGCAACATACAGTAAAAGCTTTTTTGTAATAATATGTCTTTAGAAGTGAGCTAAAACCGGGAACAAACTCTGCGAGCCTGAGCTCCTCTGGTAGCTTGTTCCATAGTGTAGTGGCCCTGACAGCAAAGGCCCTATCTCCTTTAGTTTTTGTGCGCACCAGAAAACATCTTATGCCAAAAACGTTTTGGTGGGCACAAGAAACCTTAGGGCCTCTGTAGGTCAGCAGCACTCAACCAGTATCTCAGTCTGTGTTCTGGCTCATAGAGGATAAAAGCTCAGAGATATATGAGAGGGGCAGCCACTCTGTGTCAGTCTGTGTCTTAAAATAATTATTGTAATAAAAAAAGTCCTTTATTATTGACTGTGTCAAACTCAGAAGGTCATTACGAACTCTGAGAAGAGTAGTCTCAGTGCTAGAGATATGGAATATTTCTAAAAAGTTATTGTCTAACAGATTCAGTAACTGCAGTTATTCAGAGGGATCTAAATATGTTTTTTTAAGGAGGGGTTCAACCAGAGCAGTTTTAAAACAAGCAGGGACATAGCCGGAGGTCAGTGAGCTATTTACAATAGCCAAGATGAAAGGGCCAACTTTAGGCATAGTCTCCTTCAGCAGTTTGGTAGGGACCACATCCAACGGGCAAGTTGGTGACTTCATATGGTTAACCATTTTACTGAGAGCGAAAAGAGATTTTGATGTAAAGGCATTGACGGATCCAAAGGTCTGTACAAATTTTCATGACAATCCATCAAAAAAAATGTATATTTCAGTCTAGACCAAAGTTGTGGACTGGCATTGCCATCCCTAGAGCAATGGCACTAACACAGTTAAAATGTTAGACATACTGAAAACTGTTACAAGCTATATATATTCTTAGTTAAATCCTCATGTGTAGTTCTTTGTGCTGCTGTTATTGTACTTTCTGCTATTTTGTGCTATTTCTGGTACTATCTGGTGTGGTACTTTATGTAAATCTTTATCTTTTTGATAAACAAATTTAGGGGTGTTCTCTTCATTCACTTAGATAACAGAATATATTTGACTTTGACAAAGAAAAGTCCTTTCCATAAATAAGCGTTTGATTATAGTCCTCATACCGTTTTTGTTGGGTGTTCCTTGGCTGTGGCAGATCAATGAAAAAGTTAAAATTTAAACCTGCTGTCAAACAATCTCTGGTTATATAACTGATCATTTTGACCTGTGCAGTGTAGAATGTTGCCTTTCCAGCTTCCCAAGAGGTTTATATTTTAAAATCCCAGTTTCTGATTTTCACAAACCTCAAGGGATCAATGTGTTATGGCTGGAGGTGTTGACATACTAGGATGTGCGGCTGGTTAGCATGAGATGAAACACCTGCTGAGTGCCTACAGCAAAAATATCTTACGGCCCAGCAGATGTCAGGTTTTGAATAGGGCAAGGAAAATCAGTATTTATATAATCAAAAATTAATGTTATCTGTTTTGTCTGTTGTTACACAGACTCAAGAGAGACAAATGGATTTCTACAATTTCAAAGCAAAGTGCCTGCCTGGGGTGTTTAAAAGCAGTATTTGCTGCTTGATAACCATCAAAAACCATTAAACAGGACATAAGTTTAAATCCACAGAGATTAGTGAGAGCAGGTTATCTGGATGTCACAGCAAGCTTTTTGTCCACCCTTTGAATTTGTTTGGATCTGTGGGAGCCAAGTGCTCTTTTACTACAAAGCCAGATTTTGCGGTGCACTCACCAGTCAGGAGACAGAACAAACTGCCTCCACATCTGTCTTAAATAATCCTCTAATGGTCACCTTAAATTTCAAAGTCACATCAGCTGATCCTGAGAGTCCTTTTGAGAAACAGCCACTTTATCAACCACTTCAATAACTGTATGCTTGTGTGTGTGTGTGTGTGTGCGAGCATGCTATATGCAGTATGGAAACAATACCACCTCCCACTGAGAAAACAAACCCCATAAGGGGAAAAGGAGGGAAGAGAGGGCATAAGGGACGATGTTAGAAAAAAGGACCAGGCTAGCTATAAACATTTCTGGCATTCCTCGGCTCCATGCAGCAGCAGGGTTTTCATTAGGGGTAGTGGACAGTCCAGCCAAGAGTCACCGGAGCAGGACCCTGCGGGGAGCCCCACTTTCTCCTTATTGGCCATAACAGAGCTGAATTGGTTCAGTGCTAACCACAAGAGCACATTAAAGAAAGCATTGAGGATTTTGACAGGCAGGGATATTGCTTAACCTGACACAAGTAAACAAGTACAAGAGTGTGCATGAGAGAAAAAGAAACTTTACTACAGTGGAAAACATTACTTTGTGTTCCTCTTCACAGGATGCTGGTATTTCCTGTTCAGCGAGACTGTGGATATTTATGGACTGGCCCAACAGAGGACTTTCATTTTCTTTACGATACTGTGTTTCTCTAAATAGAGATACTGAAAAGAAAAGCAGATGCTTCACATTTGATCTGGTACATGGGTAATCTGTTTGGTATGAAATCTGCTTTTTTCTGACTACACACGCAGGTGAACAAAAACTAATGAGACAACCAGAAACACTTAGATATTGGTCTTTATCATCAGTATTATGAGATAATTAGAACATATGGCAGCTTATAGAGGGATAACAATATATGGTGGGATTATACAAAAGATCGAAGGAAAGATGATCCAAAAAAGTTTTGTCGTATCAATCAGAACGGTGGCAAGATGATTTACAACAGAGGAAATAAGAGTAAAACCCCCCAAAACCCTGTTACACAGGTCTTACTTTTCTTTATTGTTGCATTTTATTATGAAATATTAGAGAAAGTCAAGCTTCTAAAAAAATATTTTAATTAAACAATCTGAGCATGGAATATTGATCTGAAATGGTTAAATTACTTGCCATTCATAGACATATTCAACCTGTGATGAGGGGTTGTTAGTAGACAGTGTTGAAAAAAAGATGGTTAAGTTGATTTCAGCTCTTAGTGTTTGTATTTAAATATTTTTATGGCAATCCATCTATCATTTAATTTAATTCAGCAGGCCCTTGATCTATTTGGTTGACCAACATTGCCATCCCTAGAACCATGCTGGTAGCATGGCTAAAAATAACTTTTGTGTGGATTATGTGGATGAAAAACAAGCCTGGATTTAATTAAATCATGATTCTAGATTTGGGCACAATTATTTGTCACGGTTGTAGTCTGGATGTAGGTGAACCCTCAAATTAAATTAGAATGTAATCAAGTTGAGTGAAATGTCATTGCTGTTGTTGCTATAGGCAAAAAACATCACACAAATGCACATGTATTTTTCTTAGATACATTTTGCAATGCATGCCATCAACATTTATTCATTTTAACATAATGTCCACAAGGACAAGTGCAAACCTGCCTGAAATTCATAAGCAGAAAAGAATAAGTAAAAGTTAACATACAAAATAAGACATGATATAATGATGTTTTTTATACACTGATAAAAAAAAAATTAGCTTTTGATGTTAATCTTAATACTAACTCACAATATACATTTCAGTACATTTTTGAGAAATTCTCCCCAATTTCTCTGCTCCCGAGCATCTGAAGGCAAACATCACATAGTTATAAATCTGGGATAGTTAACCATGTCATTGTTGATACAAGTCTAACAAAACTGAACTGTTCCTTTCAAACTTTGCCATTTCCTCTTTCCAAAACTGACGTTTTCACAATATTTTAAGAGCACAAAATCTAGTAGCAACCTCGCAGTAAGTACAAAAAAACATCTTGTGCAATAGCAAACAAAACAAATAAAAGTATAATATTAACACACAAGTGAGGTTGAAAAGTGGCACTTTGTGAAAAAAGGTGACCAAAACAGTGGGTGGTGGAAAATGGTTAAAATGTACAGTACAATGTGTGACAGCTGACTGATTGATGAGCCTTTGGTTTCTTACTATTACATGGAAGTCCAATAACAAAACGAAAAGTGCTTAAATTGTCCTTAAAAAAATAAGAATGCTACCATTTCCATTTGAAACTCAGGCATTGATGTGGCTTTGTATATTTAAGGGGGTGAAGTGGTATAACAAACACACATAAATAAACATAAAAACAGTGGAACAGCTAACATGGCTTCTGCGTAGGTGCTGTCCTTTGCTTTAATTCTTCTGTTAAGTAGAACCATCTGTATAAACCCTTTACTTCCTTCAATAAAACTCGCAGAATGGGTCAGCTGAAGCATAACTCGTTTTGATGACATTACACAGTGAGTGAAGTCATTTCCCAGGGAAGTGAAAGGCTGCCTCTCCTCGGACACCCAGTTCAAAAGGCTAATTGGATAAAGAGAGAAACCAGTGTGCGTGCAGGGGTGAACCAGCCAGTGTTAAGCTGACCCCAGTTCAGTTCTGTCACTTTTAAGGCAGCAGTGCAGTCCTGCGACAAAATCCTTGTGTGTCTTCTCCCACTTCTTTCTCCTGCATCTTCATTTCTCTCACCTTCCTTCTGTGCAATTATAAAATAAGCACGGAGTAGCGTGTATTATTCAAACATACACACACAGAGGTATTAAACTACACACAACCCAGTTCATAGACATCACAGCAGTAGAGGCAGCCAGCAGCATACAGCATCCATATAGCGTGGCCCTGAGTCAGATCAAGACCATGAAGCTGCAGGCTCACTGCTTTTCAGTGTCTGCTCTGTGGAGTTTAAATTTGTTCAATCTCTCTCCACCTGTGAAACGTCGTTCAGCAGATCAGCTCCTGCTGTATGTCAGGTCGCGTGGGATAGGGGGACCCGCTGAAGGAGAAGGCAACACGGCCTGTCTTCAACTCACCCTGGCCTGGGCACATGAGGTATGACCCAATCAAGTCCAGCTCGGGGGAGGGAGCCGGGCTCTCTGGCTCTGACTCTGATTGGCTCGTCTCTGGCTCGTCCAAAGAGGAGGCCGATCTAGCATGGAGGTGCGGATGGGAGTGGGGATGGGGGAGCGAGTTCAGCCAGGGGTGGTTGAGGCCTTCTTCTGCAGTGGCTCTCTTCCTGTACACACAAACACAATAACACTGTGGATGAGTGGAAATTCCCGAAGAGTTTACATAACCGATGGATTGCCTGGATCTTCCGATTCACTCAATCCGTTCTCTTGCAAACGTCAGGCATATTACTTTTCAACATTTGGTTTGGAAAACCACAAAAGAAGCACTTTTCACTAAACAATTTTCCCCCCTCCATCTCTCACCAATTACTCAAACACTGAGGAATCTTGCACTTTTTCCAATGTCACCAGCAATATGGTTACATAGCTTCCTTTGAAAATCACCTTAGTTTAAACTATTCTTTATTTTAAGAAGGTGACACTTAAAGCAGATACTTCAGTATCAGTATTTGGTGTAATGTCAAAACAGAACATACTGGCCTAAAAATGATCTACTTTTTTAAACGAGGTGAGCTTATAACCACCACCAGGAAATTACTTCTCGCCTAAGTGACGCAAATCTTGTTACCACATACACTCATTTAGACGCATACGGATGTACTTCCGTGCTGGTGTGAACCTGACTCACATCCTTACTGTGTAAATCAGCTCAAAGCAATACTGATGGAAACTTGTAGTTTTGCATCTGAACATCTGATCATATCTTCATATTTACAGTAAACCACCTCACCTGGGGTTTTTAACCAACAAGGACTTGATGAAGTCAACAGCCAGGGAGGAGATCCCCTCGAATGTGTCCTCCGAGTAGTCTACATTGACTTGGGAGATGTTGAGAAATGTCTCCTGCTTGTCGTCACCCAGGAAGGGAGACTCGCCCGTCAGCATGACGTAGGTCAGGACCCCGATACTCCTGGCAGAGAGGGAGGAAGAAAGGTAAAGATGTTATGAGGCAATTTGTCAACTTTGATGGTTACAGAAACTGCCTTGCAACACACTGTAGCACAAACGATTTGGCAGTCTCTCAATATGCTGTGGTGAGTCAATAATTAACTGCAAGCATGCAGCAAAGATGATCTTGTGGTCAAAGGTCTAGACTGTCTTTTGCATGTTAGGGAAGTGATGTCACTGTCCTGAATATGTCTTTATTCCCAGAAGCACAGACTAAATGAGTTCTGCATGGCACTCACTAAAATAAGTGGAAATAGTCTCATTAACTACAGTAGTGCACTTACCACATGTCTGTAGCAGTGGTAATGGGTTCATAGTTCAGGATCTCTGGTGCTGCAACACAAACACATGGCCCCAATTAGTCTGCAGGCATACACTGCACTCAAATTCAAAAGACACAGGTGATTCTCTATATTTCAGGGCTAAAAGCAGGACTCACCCACATACTCTGGGGTACCCAGGATCTCCCTGACTTCTGTGACGTTGTCCATGCGTCTGGACAAGCCAAAGTCCACAATACGAATATCCCCCAGAGGTCTGGCACTGGTCAGCAAGATGTTTTGGGGCTAGAGAAGATGCACACACAGATTAGACAGAGGTTTGTGACATAATGACTGATTATTCAAGAAGACTGGGGTCTAACATTGAGGTCATTAATTACATGTCAATGTGAATGAGTCAAAGCATTTGAGGTAAATGGTTTCAAGGGGATTTGAAGTCTCGTTCATCAGTCAGCTACTAGCTGCTCCTCTAAGCCTATCAAATGAGACTGAAAACAGGATAGGATATCCCTGCCAACCACTAGTATGGCTCCATGGTCCCTGACCAAATACTGTGTATATACACAACTGTGCTTCATTCTGGGTCAGACTTGCCTAATTCCAGGGTTGGTTTGAATATCTGAGATAAAACAAGCCAAGACCAACAACAAGGCCTGATTCACCTCTTGAACTTACACTATGTTTATATATAGAAAATATTTTAAAGCATCAGTCCTCCAAAACCAAGGATGTGATGTATTCGAACTGATCATTTGATCTGGAACACATCCAGTGTTATCCAGTCACTTATTCACTTTTAAAAGAATCATAGAACGTGTATCCAGCAACCAGATACTTTGTTAATTTGGGAGTTGCTGAGGTAAAAAAAAAAAAATCTCAGTGATGACTGCCTTGTTACTTCAGGGCCCATTAAAGAAAACATAATAATTCACTCAGGTACCTTCAATGACTGATTCCTTGTGGGAACAGGGTCACGACACATTGAATGAGTTCTGGTTGTATAAGAGACATCTCATCTCCCTCAGTCTGACGCTCGAGGGAATAGACTGTCCTATATTGTCATATAATCTCTCATTGTACTTACTTTCAGATCCAGGTGCACCACATTGTTCCGATGCAAGAAGGCCACCCCAGTCAGGATCTGCTTGGCCAGCCGGATCACATCTTTCTCTGTGAAGGCCTCATCGCTGTCTGCAACACATTGGTTGAAGATTTCGCCACCAGCAGCGCTGAAAGGAAAGCACAGGAAGGAAAACAAGGATGAGAAGATGAGAAGAAAAGCATTGTACATGGATAGCCACCCAGTGGAGTTTAGTTTGGCTGACTTTCATTTAAGATTATTCATTTCAACTTATCATAATAAATTGCACTTAAACTTTACAGATACGCCCTTCCTCTCAGTTTGAATTACACAAGTTGACAACAAATTCCGACCTATCCCATTAGTGCAATTTTAGTGAACAAACCTAAAGTCATTTCCACTTTCTTTAAAACTACCTAACACTCCTCATTAGTGTACTTTGGCTTGGAGAAACAAAGTCCATCCACATCTACACATAGCATGCGAGTCCAGCATGAATCAATATAATTATTTGTACCCCGCCTGTGTGTGTACCTTCTAGGGAATATTACAGGAGATAAGAACGGTCATATAAACTTACAGCAGGATCAGTTATGCCTTAGACAGGCTGATATATTGCAGGCTGAGAAAACAGAAGCAAACACTGGCGAACTAATCAAAGCCGAAACATTTTCTTAATATTGAAAGGAACAGCTCTTTAGCTACAAATGGAGCCAGAGAAGGTGGCAGGAAAGTATTATCAAGTACTGTGTGAGCCTCAGCCTGCGTTTTTGCTTGTTGGCTTAAACAACTTAGGTGTAAGGGATTATCCCTTTGTGGAATTTAGTAATTAGACAACTCATTGGTGACTTCTCACATTTTTGTGGAAGGAATAGTCAGACTCCTGCCTGGTCTTGCTGCGCTTGTGTAACAACGTTAAGTAAAGTGTAGACATTGGATTTATGGTGGATGCGCCATCAGTCAGATTAGTGCCTAAAGCTGACAGTTCAACCAAAAAAAACTAGAACCATGTGTGGGGGATTTAGATGGCACACATGCTTTTTATCTTTAGAGGAAAAAAAACTTTGTGACCAGGCCCTGAGCATGACTGTTACATAACCAGCACTACCCAATCCCTCTGCGCCCTTTACTATCCTCAGCTGTGAAAATAGCACCCATGATTGTGCGGGATTTTGCGGATATCCATCATTGGTCCATATTTAGTTCTCTTTTTTTTGCTCACAGCACCAAATACTTGACCTGCCACCTACCCCGCTTGTTGCTGACATTCTCAATCCCCAAAGAGTTTAGAGAGCTGCAGAGACTTACAATGAAACTCCGCACTCAATGTGTTTACACTGATTTGCACATTTATACTACATGCAAGCAAGCCTGCTATTAGTGTTTTCATTTGGGAGAGGAAATGAAAGGTGTGTGTGGGTGTATTTTAATTGTTGAAAAGTGCAATAGAAAAAAACCCATCATACCTCTTACTGAGTTGGTGTTATATAGAAAATGAACTTGAATCTGTCAATTTAACATAGATTTGACCTATTACTGTCTGAACAATTAAAGACGTGACATGACAGAGTATTTGCCGTCAGCAGAAGCCCTGAGAGGATATAAAATCTTGATAAAGACCGTCTTGTTTAAATTCAACCAACTGCACACATTCTAGTCAAGCACTTAGGAATGATCCGATACTTGCCTCAAGTCTGAATATTTTCTCCATGCGCTCTGTCCTTCCTAGAAATTTAATGTACACACTACTTCAGTGTGTAGGAGACATCCTCCTCTGCACCAAGCCGCAAGAAGAAGAAAAAAAAAAAATAGGAGGGCACCGAGAAGCTGAACAACCATTTGAAGACAAGAGCCAAGAACAGATGAGCCTCGATCTCTGAATAAAAGGATATTAAACTGCAAAGAGGCAAAAATGTTTCTATTTTAAAAGCAGTAAACCAAGTCAATCTCTTTTTAGTTCTGCAGGTCATAGCCCTTCTTGGCTGACCACCAAGCTGGGTGCTCATTGACGTCATTTTAACATCACTGTGTCAAACAGGCTAACCTGTCTGTTGGCTATATTTTCTGGGCAGTACTTATACTCCAATACAGTGCAATTAAAACCCACTCTTTTACAATGACATTTCGTATTTGTGGAAAAGCAGAAAACGAATGACAGTGAGCCTTGGAGAATTCATCACAGTGACCATTTCAGCTACTGTGCATAAACAGCTTTAGAGGTCAGAGGTGATGCACATTCATTTTTCATCTCTCAAACTAGTCATTATGCCGGGAGTTTCTGTGGAACTGACGCATGCTGGAGCTACACTTTCAAAGATGATTAGAATATAAACTTCTCGCTTCCATTTCTCTGACATGAGTAAGGATGTGGTTGTGGCTACGAGAAGTGTGTGTGCGCGCATGCACAACACATTATACCAGCGTGATGTTGTTCTACTTCTGGGAGCCATGCTTGCTGCTTACATTTAAACCCACAGGAAATGGAAAATGGTTTGCAATTCTTGAAACTTATTTTGAGGTCACACAGTTTGAAGATGCAGCTTTTCAGTGGTCAGAGGTCTCATTGCGAGTGGTCCTGCAGCTTCTAGGACAAATGCACAGTGCAATAGAGACTAACTGACAAAAGAATGAGTTGACATTTAAAAGCAAAGCTCATCAAGTGCTAAAATATTGTGCATGTGCTGGCTGCTGATTTTATGCTTGAAGACTCTGTGGACCAGTGCTGACTGATCTCCTGTCGTGTTTTCTCTGCAGGCATGCAGGGGTGAACTGTGGTGCTACTTCCCCTTTCACACTTCAGTCAGAGGTCAAACACAGCCCCCACCCCACAGAGAGGCCTTTGTTCTGCGGAGGAATTCCATGTCTGTGATGGGGATGACTGAGGGACTGGGCAGGAGAGGGCTTCCTGGCTGAATAGCAAGCAAGCAGTTCAGGGTCAGGAGAACGTGGTTCAAGCCTAATTGCCCAGTGTTATCTCCCTGTAATGAGGCGAGCAACGTAATTAAGATGCTATGACCTTTCCTAATCCTAATTAGAGGCTGTCATTAGAGCAGTAAGAGAACACTTACTGACACCCAACCACAACAGACAGAATGAATGACTATGTCACTGCACAAGCAACTCGACTCAGCCGCTGACCAATTCACCTGCATGTTGAAAGGCAACACAAAGTCTACAGTTCTGAGCAGTCTGTTCTCACAGTAACTGACTCATTTGTAGCTCAACACTTGTTATTTTCATATCAGCGTGGTGTGATTCTGCAACATTGATGTTTAAAATGACAGTTCGTGAGGTGTTGAGGCTACGACGAGACAAGTGACTAACCACAGAGAGAGAGAGAGAATTTCCATTTAAGGCAGAGTCTGTGTAACAATAGTGCAAGGCTATGCATTTCACACGTGTGTGGTTGTTGGTTCTTTTTGCAGGTAAGAATGTCTTGAGTGACATTCAGCTGTAGCATCAGCACCTAGCACATAACTAAGCCAGTAAGGTTTTTTTTTCCCCCACAGATCAAATACATGAAAGCTGGAAATCCACATGAAAACACAAAAGTAGTGATATTCTCGTTAAATACAGGATGTTGCATGATATGAATGTATGATTTGATGTGAGGCTCTACTAACTCAAACATAGTTGCTTATTAAGTAGAAATGAATCAATAAGTTTGCTAGAAGCCAGTTTGGCGTCCTCAAATATCTCAGACATGCTACATGAGAAAAACTCCAGTCGTGGAAAGTTTTTAGTGAGTGATGATTAAAAGGATTTTCATCTCCCTAATGAGTGAGAGCCTAATCATTTTTCAGTTTTCCTGGCATGCCTCAAAACACGGAGAAATTTTTTAAAGGCCATTTAGATTACCACCATCACTTCTTAATCATATAAGTGCCAGTGCAAGGGAGTCACAGAAAAGGATGTTGAAATGTGACATATAATCTTTTTTTCAGAGAACATTGAAAAAGACATTTGTGTTGTTTCTGTAATATCTACAGTACTGCCTTACCACTCCAAAACGAGGATGATTTCGGTGTTGGTTTCATAGACCTCATGCAGTGCAACCACATAGGGGTTTGCCTTGGCCGACTCCAGCACAGCGATCTCGTTTAAGATGTCCATGCGGCAGTCTTCGCCCTTCCGTCGCTTTCGCAGGAACTTGGCAGCATACTGCTTCCCTGTTGCCTTCTCAATGCACTTTTTCACCACTGCAAACTTTCCCCTGAGAAACAAAGAGGGGAGAGAGTGAGGGAGTGATTAGTGAGGAGAGAGAATAATCACAACCACATTACTGGCTTTTCAAATATATTTGGTCAGAAACGGTTGTGTTCTGCATCCAAGTAGCCAACTGGACCACTGGAATAAATGTAGGTCATTTAAACTGCAGCAAATGAAAGGCTAAACTTACTGGACATACTCATGACAGTTAAACTGCTAGGAGTTGAAACCTAGATTACAGTGCAAGACATTTGGAAACTGGCCAATCGGCCACGAGTGCAACACTGTAGGCGAGGTTACAGAACAGTTTAGAGATAAGAAGGTTAAGTGGCATCATTTGAAAATACAGCCACTGCTATTAACCATTGATATACTTAGCCAAGGAGGCGTCGTCATTAAACATTCAGTAGAGATTTCCCCTGTTCTCCTCCTCTTCCTCTAGCCCTCAGGAGGGTCTGCCAGGAGGCAGATAAGGCTGACAGTCTTGGCAAGATAGATGCTGAATAGTGGGCAAAGACCTGATAAGGCTATGGCCACTTTGTAGGTCACAAAGAGATGCAACAGCTTGGTTGCTAACAAACAAACAGATTAAGAAAAGAACACCCACTTTTACAACCTTATCACTACTATTCATTTTTCTGCATATACATTGATGGATTCATAGGAGGTGTTAAGGGTCAGCCGTGGGTGTGGGCAGGATGTCCGATGTGTCCAGAATTGCCTGTGTCAAGCCAACCACAATCATCAACTGTCCCTCCCAGGCCGATAATGAGGCCTTGTTCACTTCCCTTTCTTCGCAGTTGACAGCAGCAAGGACAAATGGAATTGTGTTGACACCTCCACCCAGACCCTCTGCCAGAGTCTACTTCTCCTTTGACTATTGTACAAAAGCTGACCAGTCGGTTAACTAAGCAGCTCCGAGATCAGGACCACCCACCTGACCGCAGCTGGGTAGGCCAAGCAAGGGGTCACTACTGTTACAGTCAGGTTGGAGCCTAAACAGCATGTTAAAATAGACATGGTAACCTCAACATTTTATTCCAGTTCAATATTTTAATAAGCTACACAATACAGATACGCTGCAGAAGGCTTAGGAAAAGTGAACACGGGATGTGATAAGAGGACTATGTACTGGGCAGAATCTAAATGAAGTGGCCAAGTCAGAAAGGTCCAGTCAGCATGGTGCCTGTCATTTTCCCACACAGCGTTACTCCAAGCCCTCTGTGCTGTGGACCAAAAACAGCAACTGTTCTGGCCAGAGCTTGGTTCTGTTTTGGCTACTACCCCGGTTGCTTTGAGGTCTGTTTCTTCTCTTTTTTCCATTTAACAGTCTCACAGAATGGTGACGACTCATTGTTCAGAGTGAAAAGGCAAAAACCGTCAGAGCCTTTTCATCCTTAATTAGCCAAGTTCAGAGCAGCTCACTGTGGGCTGGGAACTACATATGGAGTGAAAAGGAATGACCGCTGGCCACGGAAAGGAGCAACATGAGGTCTTTCTAAAGACTGACAACAGGTCAGGGGTAACTAAACACGGCTGTCTTCTAGCCGGCTATGTTCACACTCAGCCATGTTACTAGGCAGATGCACAGAACCTCCTAGTTATACACATCACACTCCTTTAAAGTAATTTATTTATTGTTACACATTAAGTTCCTCTTTATTTTCCTTAATGAGGGAACTCTGGATCCACAGACACAATTTTGCAGCTCAAACAGCTCATTTGCAAGGTTATCATCAGTAGAATCTGTCTGAAACTAGTCTGTCATCAATCAACAACTTTACTGTGACACACAAAACTGATTCCTCTCCAGCACTGGAGATGGTGATAATTTGACTGAGAAATTGGTTTCCTGTGGAGTCTGCACGTTGTCTCCCTCAGTCAGGGGCATTGACTCATGTCTGGAGTGCAACGAGAAATGACAGCTCTCACAGCTCTCATTTGCCTGTTTCACAGACTGACACACAACATGAGATCCTCTTACTGCTCTCGAGTTGGCCGCAGCATATTTTTGTGCACAGTTCTGTAGGGGCCCACAACTCATAATGCAAAGCTTGATGAGAAGGTTTTGAAAATAAGTCTAATGAGCCTTCCTGCTCCTTAAAACTTCAAGAGAATTAAACAAAGCTTTTGGTGGAAGAATTCAACTCAGGCATCTACAAGTTTTAATGGTCAACATTCCTCCTAATGTACAGATTATATATATATATGTATATAGTCGATCTGCTGGCATGCAGCACTACGTACATTCCTGCACTTAACACGATTATGAGGCCTGATCTCAGGATGTTGTTGGGTTGGACTCATGGGAAGAGGAGGGAAGAAGGATGTAGGGTTGAGGTATGAGGGTGAGAGAAGGGAGAGGCTGCTGTGGCCAACACTTCATAGGCAGCTTCAAGCCTACCTCCCATAGGTCACCCTAGCCAGGGTGTCTAACAAGGAAAACCGGCTGCTACCAAGTTACTCTTTATTTAGTCTCTCCCACCACACACTGCAGATGAGCAACCTTTGTGTGAAAATTGGAGTTGTAGAGACAGACGCAGAACTGGCACAGATGGCAGTCAAACAGCTGTCGGGTTAAATGAAACCCCAAGATGTCAATTGCAGCTCTATTGGTCATTTAAAATGCATTTGAGGAAATTCATTATTGTCTGGCACATTGGGGAATCCCCGCCTAAATACCACTGGAATGTGCACTTCTGTTTCTGGGATACACACATCAATGAGTGTGACCCACAAAATGCATTTGGCTGATGAGACATAGAAAAGTGGCTGATGGTAAATATGGATACCATTTGTGTTTTCATATATTGTTCTCTCATTAGCCTTGTTTGTGTACATTTTGTCACTATACATCCCACTTGTAATACAGCCATACATTAAAAACCAAACTAACTTATGGCATTTGAAATTTATTTATTTTATTTCAACACCACATACACTAGAATCTACTGGACCACACAAGTCAGTTTTGCAGTTTCAAAACCCAGAGATAAATTCCATGCTGTCAGATATATAAGAACAGTGTGTGGGGCAAGTGCAAATTTAGCTTTAAGTCCCTCCTTATCTCACAAAATTACTTTAACTCATAACTGTCCACCTCATTTTTAAGTTTAAATGCATTAAGAGATAATAAAGTCTTAAAACATTTCAGAAACTTTCACCCAAAGATGCAAACGGGGATGAAAGAAGTACCTTTCTATCAATCTATCGATTACCATTGCGCGTGCCAAAGCGCGTCTCCATCTGCGCCTTTTCCGGGGATGTTCAATTAACACGCGTCCCATTAATATGTGCAGAGAGCAAATATAATAATATGATTACCAGATTTACAGAAGATAATATGGCAAATTCCGCTCCGCCAGAACACGAACAAAGTCATTCACGCAGCAAACAAACTCACCTGCCCAGTTCTTTGCCGACCAACTCGTAATTGGCTGTGAACGGCTCAGTTCTTATCCTCGTGTGGACTGTTGTCAGCATTCCTTTTTTGCTCATCGTTGCGGAATCTGGCATTGAAGTCGTGCTTGGAATGAAACAATCTTCTTCCACCAAAAAAACCCACACAACAAAAACGATTTCTGGTCCGCTCAAGTAAAAACTAGCATGATAAAGAGTCGACTAGAGCCAACAGCAGTTTTGTCAAACTACCGGGAGGTAATCCAGTAAGCGCGTCCCAAGTAAGAGGATGATGCGGGAGCGTGACACACTCGGTGTGGTAAATTAGTTTGAGTGCTACTACACATTCCTGACAATAAACTCCTAGTCAGGGCCAGCCCCCTGCGCTGACGCTCTGCAGTCAAAGCCAATGAATTTGCTGAAGACGACGGGGACGGTCCCAAGGTGTAAAAGGCTGGCAAGTGGTGCGTTCAAGTGACAGCAACTTATTTGCTCAGGTACACAAACATAAACAAATACTTTATCATTAGTTTCTGTTTGATAGTTCTTGTGATGTCTTAAAGTAATAAAAATATGATATTGAATAAACATGAAGTGCTGTAACACACACATAAAACTTTAAAACATAAGGGTGGTCAACACCCTTACAATTTACAGCTGTCTAATAAAAGTTAAGATATACACTATCAGTTTAGATTTACAGACATTTGTCAGTCTTAAAGATCATGTAAACAAAGTAAATAAGGTATAGGTAAAGTTAAAATATGTTTGCTAGGTCTAATTAATAATACACTTGAATGGTAACCAAACCTCAACAGTAATTGAACCCTTTTTCTTTTCTTATTTCTCACCCCATGTTGTAACCACCTACCCAAATATTTACTCATTAAAGAAACATAAAGTCAAAACAAAGCACAGTATATTCATATTTAAATAGAAACTCAAGCACACAAACATTTTTAGCTTGTAGGCATTGTTGGTATGTGTTTTCATGCTGCCTGCTCTGGGCTTGCCCGTGCTATGGTGAGACTTTTTCTCACACAACAGTCATGCTGGTGCCCTTGGTGTATAAGAGTTGTGTGTCTGTCCTTTGAACTTGCGTGTCATTAAAGAAGAATTCAAAACATCCCATTTGACAACTCATCAGTGTCCGTGAGACAGCCAAAGATACTTGGCTTGGAAGGGAAAGGAAAGTGATAATCATGTGCACATGATTCAGTTTTTTCTCTGTTATCTAATATCTAAATCAGAAATAGAAAACTCACTCTCACAAGTCCCCCTGTAGTCAGGATAGTGAGCATGAAGACAAGCCAGTGAGGAAAAGTGATTGGTATTCATGGCTTGTGTGACGATGGCCTGGACTCCATGGGAAATGTGTCACCTAAGCTCCAGAGGCTTGCTGAAGCTAAAGCTATGAAACTGTGAATCTGACCAAGGCCTGGACTGACCTGAAGCAAACAGAACAGCACACACACACACACAGCAAATCTCCCCCAACTGAGATTCAATTTCAGACAATAAAGGAATAGGTGGGGGAGGCTGTGGTTTTCTGCATCAGTTTACACCTTGTGTGAGACAGCAAGATGTGTTTGCTTTCCTCAAAAGCATTATACTGTTGCATGTTGGCAAGAAGCTCATGTTGGATGTCAGTCATTGCCATCTGCTGCTTATCATTAATAATAATTATTTCCACTGGTATTTAGTGGTTAGTCAGTCAACATAGTTAATTGATAAGATCACAATTTGACATCCTCACATTGCTTGTTTTATCTGACCAACTGCCTAAAAGCAAAATATTTTTTATTTACAATGATATTAAAGAATGAAGAGCAGTTTTATATTTGTAAAGCTTGAGCCTACAACTTATCACTTACTAAAATGTGTTTATCAATGGTTAACTTATTGTTTCAAAGGCCTGAAGAGGAGAAGGAGAGACTCATACCAGCCTGTATTCTTCATGTTTCTAAATGAGGAGATGAGTGTTTGTGCTTCCTTGATGGAAGGGAAGGGGAGGTAAGGGATGGAGTGAATAAAAAGAAGAAATGATGGGAAGACAGGTCCCTCTGTACTGGTTTTATGGCCCGTGGCTGAGCACATTGCTAGTGGTTGGTCACATGCCCTACTGTTATCTAGCAAACAGAGCAGGATTTGTCTAATCTTACCATACCAAAGCTAATTTTGTTGCCACAAACAGCAACTGATGTAAAAGAGACCTATTGAGAGTAGAGATTCCTCAGACCCTTCAGAGTCATCAGTGTCCAGCGACAAGATTACATAACCTGTTACGCCTCCTCAAATTGTTACCTTAAGTCTAACTGAGCCCACTCTGAAGCCTTGACCCTCTTTCTCTGCCAGCCTTCCCATTAAAGCTGGGGTCAGAGTTGACAGGGTCTCCGTTAGTGAGGGAGCTCTACTTGGCCCCAGAGACCTAATGAAAACACATACCAGTGAATTAGCCTGCCAGCCTGCATTTTAGCTAACATAAATACGAGAAGTTCAGCCATGACCTGGGGAACGCAAACACTTTCTGAGACACTGGAACAAATAAGCCTTGTCATGACTGGGTCAGAAAACACAACTCTTGTTTTTTTATAAGACTTTGGCTGTAGAGTAACAAATGGATTTGTTCCCAGAAAGTGTAGACAAAATGGATGTGATTGATGTAAATAAAGGATCTTTAACTAGGATACAAAGGTACTTGAAGGATTTTCAACCTTTGCCTGTTTGTGTGAAGTGCAGGGATGCTCATAATGTAATTTCTTAATTTTAACACACAGAGCAGGCATCTTATCCTCACACAGCTCTTTATAAATGTTGCCATTCTGAGAGCAGAGCTGCTAAAGAGCCAGAGAATGTAAAAGGTGGAGGATGGAGGGACAAAGGCAATCTGGTGTTAAAGAAGTGACCATTGCAGGATCAGGGTAAATGTACACTGCTAAGCAGTCCCTCAGGTAAATGTATTAGAATGAAAGGCAGTCTTTTGTTCATATTTTCAGATATCCTTTCTCTCCTCTCGTTTTTTGTCACCCATGGGTGTGTAATAAGAGGGGGTGGGGTCTCATTACACTGTGCTGTTAAACGTTAACTGCGATTCCTTTATGAGTCTACTTGGAGGCCAGTCCAGTCATGTTAAAGCCTTCTATTCTGATAACATCCCAGACTTTTCCTTTATGTTTGAAGGACCACAATGTTTCCACCCCTGGCTTATAACATGGTGGAGATATAACTGAGGAAGTAGGCCATCATCTGACACCAGCAAATGTCTGACTGATGAGGTGTCCTTGTTAGACAGTGTTTTAAAGAGGTAGATGAAAGTCAGCTCTCAATGATAAAAATGTTTTTGAGTTTCTTTCAATGCTTCCTTTTCCTGGTTACCCTTGTTTTGCTCCATCTTTGATGGATAACACCTGATGGCTGCTGATAGTAGCTTTCACACAAGCAACATTACATGAGAATGAAAAAGCAATCAACCTTTCTTAAGAAATTTGACTTGTTAACAAGACCTAAAAGACAAAATTGCAAAATGCTGAAACCTTACAGAGCATTATTGCAAGCTGTATAAATTCTCTGTTTATGGTTCTTAGTTGTAAATGACTGTTTATGCAGAAAGAGGATTCCATGTAATGAAAGGGTTCAGGCTCAGGAGGGCTACTTGGTAATCTCACCTCAGTCGATAAGTGTTCCCTGTCTTCTTTGGTTGCTTATAAAGGGCTTGAATACATATCTTATCTGTCATGTGTTGTTCAATTTGTAATTAACAAACAACACTGGCGAAAAAGCTCTATGTCTCTGCACTGGCAGACCCTAATTTGCTTGGGTAGATAGCGTGTATGTTGCCACTTATAGGGATAAGGAAGACTGAGAGCATGATGTCATGCTTTTATTAACTCTATGAATCATTTGTGCAGTGGTGTAACGGTGGTGAGCCTAGGTCCCACATTGGTGTGATCTCTAATCCATATACGGTGACCTCAGTGTAAAGCAGTCTGAATGGAGCGGCAAAGGTCTCACACCTCATAAAACTAAACAGCCAAATTGCTCCGGTTGATTTAAATGCTTAACACACCACCCACATCTTAAGCCTTTCTCTCTCCCTTACAACTGCAGGGATTTCTGCCACATCAACTACTGTGGTTAACAATAAGGACAAACATCTCCTCTGTGGCCTGACGGGAGGATTGGTGTGTTCACAAACATTGGTGCTGGGAGTCATTCACCTCAGGACTGCAGGATGACGTGCAGAGCTGACGCTCAAGTGGTATTAAAAGATAAGTTCCTAATCCTTTTGGCAACAGTAAAAAACACTGAAGCAGGGATAAAAATAAGACATCAGAATAGGCTGGAGATATCTTTGCCTTGTTTGTAATCTAAAGACAGCACATGGCAAACAGGCCTGGAGAGGAAGTGGTGTGTGGCCTTGTTGAGAATCCTCAACTTGGATTTCTGTCATTTATTGTTCTGTAATGTGAAGTTAGCTCGGAACTTCTGGTAGAACAGTCCCTCATGATGACAATGGTTATGTATAATATTTGTGAATAAAGAAAAGATAAGTCCACAGGTAATGTTTCTGAATGTGTAGGGGAAAGGTGTTACAGTGTTTTTTTTCTATTGTCGGCATAAAGATTCAACACATTCTGTTTATTATTTATTTTATTGGAATAGAGAGCACATCTGTAATTTCATCTTTAACTAACTAACTGAATGGTAGGTATTATTTTCACCAATATTTTTTAATTGCAATCATACAAGTGCAAAAAACAAATTCATGCATTTACAAGCTACCCCAACAATCTCACGGTTCTCATAGCGTTGTTTCTGGCCAAAGAAGGCAGCTGCTTTCACAGAAAAAGCTCTAAAAACTCTGTTACGCATCACTACCTTCTCAACTCCAAAGACAGACACAGTTAGCAGCTGGTTGGTGAACACAGTTAAGGATTTAGCAGCTAACGAGGCTGGAGTTTGTAGAGAGAAAGGAGAGCTCCAAACGAATGCCAATGTTGTTGAACCCTGTACCCTGATGTCTCAAGTGAGTAAATGAACATGTTTTTCAACTTCTCTCAATCCCAGTGGAGTCTCATTTGTAAAATGTCTCTTGTGATTGCATCTCAGCCAAAAAGAACAGTCATGTTGGACACTATGGGTGTTACAGTCGTCAATGGTGGTAAAGTCAGCCACCTTCAGTGCACTCATATTTTCAAAGGGGCAACTTATATGGGTGTGTTTTGAACAGCTGGTTTTGATTCATTTCTCCGGACCAGAAAACCAACGGGGAAAAATGGACATAATGTTCAGGATAAATGCAACATAGGAAACACTGAGGAAAGACAGAGTAGAGCA